CGTTTTCCGTGCGTTTTCGACCGTTTTCCGTGCGTTTTCGACCGTTTTTCGTACGTTTTCGTGCGTTTTAGACCGTTTTTCGTGCGTTTCAGACCGTTTTTCATGCGTTTTCGACTGTTTTTCGTGCGTTTTATACCGTTTTCGTGCGTTTTAGACCGTTTTCCGTGCGTTTTCGACCGTTTTTCGTACGTTTTCGTACGTTTTAGACCGTTTTTCGTGCGTTTCAGACCGTTTTTCATGCGTTTTCGACTGTTTTTCGTGCGTTTTATACCGTTTTCGTGCGTTTTAGACCGTTTTCCGTGCGTTTTCGACCGTTTTTCGTACGTTTTCGTACGTTTTAGACCGTTTTTCGTGCGTTTCAGACCGTTTTTCATGCGTTTTCGACTGTTTTTCGTGCGTTTTATACCGTTTTCGTGCGTTTTCGACCGTTTTTCGTGCGTTTTCGACCGTTTTTTGTGCGTTTTCGACCGTTTTTTGTACGTTTTCGTGCGTTTTAGACCTTTTTCGTGCGTTTTAGACCTTTTTCGTGCGTTTGACACCGTTTTCGAGCGTTTTAGACCGTTTTCGTGCGTTTTCGACCGTTTTCCGTGTGTTTTCGACAGTTTTCCGTGCGTTTTCGACCGTTTTTCGTACGTTTTCGTGCGTTTTAGACCGTTTTTCGTGCGTTTCAGACCGTTTTTCGTGCGTTTTAGACCTTTTTCGTGCGTTTTAGACCGTTTTTTATGCGTTTTCGACTGTTTTTCGTGCGTTTTCGACCGTTTTCGTGCATTTTCGTGTGTAACCGTCACATACTTGACCAACTGCGCCACGAAAACGCTACACAAAAAGCGTCACGCGAAAAAACGTTACACGAAAAAACGATCGTTTTTTTTTTAGTGATTTCGTGGCGCAGTTGGTCAAGTATATGACGGTTACACACGAAAACGCACGAAAAACGGTCTAAAACGCACGGAAAACGGTCGAAAACGTACGGAAAACGATGTACTTCATTGCTTCTGTTAGTTGAATTTCCGGTGTAATGAAACCGGCTATGTTCATCTACTCTGCAGATATTTACGACTAAAATAAAAAAAATTGCTGGGATTATAATTATCTAAAACAGAATTGAGAAAGCGTCTAGTTTTTTGATAAAAGATGAGATTAATTAAAGTTGTCGTTGTACTGGGTAGATGTTGAGAATTATTATTAAAGTATGAAAAGGCTTGAGGAATTGGTTAAGGCTTTCGTGGCAGAGATTTTCAGTGCTACGATTTCCATTCGGGTTTGAAGTAACAATATTTCACTGTCGCAAACTAATTTATTTACAACACTTAGCACCTAATTTATTTCCACTATTTGAATTCCTGCCCTCTTGGGGCGACAAGCCGGCCTTATATATCGATAACGATCGTTCTAGAATTCTATAGTTGTTTCAGAACTCAACTAGAGTTTAATCGGCGGTTGCCGACTGCATTCCTTTTGCGGTGATGTCATGTGTTTTTTCGCTGGCCAGTATATCGGTCAGGGACGGCTTCAGATTCGTTACATTATATTATAAATGTGAAAGTTTGTGAGGATGGATGAAAGTATGTATGTTTGTTACTCTTTCCAACCTAAAGCGGAACCTGAACCTAGAGCGGAACGTGTACCTAAAGCGCAACCTGAACCTAAAGCGGAACCTGAACCTAAAGCGGAACGTATACCTAAAGCGGAACGTGTACCTAAAGCGGAACCTGAACCTAAAGCGGAACCTGAACCAGAAAATGCATCAGAGCCTGTTTCCGCGCCAGTGTTGAAAGGTAAATCAGCTGTTCCTGTGAAATCCAAAACACCTAGGAAGTATAAACCGAAGATAGATTACTTTTCGATTGCACGTCAAATTGATGAGGAGCTGGACACTGCAGTAGATGAAGATTCAGAACGCTACAAGATAGAAAATGTGGAAGACAGTTCAATTGATTTCCACAACTGCAAGACCACCCTGGCCGACATCATGATGTTGTACGAAGAAGGCAAATCCAAAGAAACCGAGAACAGTTGTAGGAGGTTTTTCAATGGCACGCCCGGGCGTAAACCTGGCCGGAGAAAGAAAATGAACAAAACGGGCTGGCCGAATAAAAACAAACGGCAATCCAAAAGAGGCCACAGCAAAGAAAAAGAAGAAAGCAATAACAATGAGAATGATGGAAGCACAGTTGACTCTGAGAGTGTAAATAATGACTGGGACGAGGAAATGTGTGAAGAAGAGCTCCGACCGACTGATAGTATTAAAAAAAGCGATAGTGTAGAACGTGAAAAAGTGGTGAACAAGAAAAACTGTGATGTTGACAGGGTAGATCGAAGCAAGGTTCCGACTCAAACCATCGCTAGTGATAGGTTGCAGTTTCAACCGTACGTTTGTGTTCAAAAACTCGATAGTCGGAACCTTGTTAGGAAAAAAGATTTACCTAAGCGAACTAACAGGCCGCAGAGGCGTATGCCGGGCTCGCCGAAATCTCCTAAAGTGTTGAGGAAACCGAGGGGAAGGTGGTATAGAGAAAGCTAGGAAGATGTAAAAAGATGTAATTTATTTTTTTTTATTAATTCATAGTTAATTTATACAGATTATATTCTATTTTATACCAG